TACTAACTTTGCCTCTACCCGCCGCCTTGACTACGCCACCACGCTTGTGGCTGCTCCTCCTACCAGTCCTCTGGCCGTCGGGGGTGTGTCTGCCCTTGGCTGTGACGCCCTAGAGGACAGGCAGTTTGAGCTAGAGTTCCTGGCGGCCGCTTCCCCTCATCTCTGTGCCATGCTCCTCGCCCCTGAGGGTGACCCCGACGCCCTTGACATTCCGACTCCTCGCACTTACGCTGAGGCAGTGTCAGGGCCTTGGGCCTCTCAGTGGAGAGCTGCCATGGACGCAGAGATGGCCTCCTACAGATCCACAGGCACCTACGTCGATGAGGTTCCCCCCCCTGGGGCGAACGTAGTCGACGGCATGTGGATCTACAGGGTGAAGCGGCCACCGGGATCTCCCCCGGTCTTCAAGGCGCGCTACGTGGCTAGAGGTTTCAGTCAGCGCGAGGGAGTTGACTTCTTTCAGACCTTCGCACCTACCCCGAAGATGACCACTCTTCGGGTGTTACTACACGTAGCAGCACAGAGAGACTACGAGTTACACTCTCTCGACTTCTCCACTGCTTTCCTTCAGGGCAGCCTACACGAGGAGGTCTGGTTGCGTCGTCCCTCGGCCTTCACTGGCACCTTCCCTCCTGGGACCCAGTGGAGGCTGAGGCGACCTGTTTACGGTCTTCGCCAGGCCCCTCATGAGTGGCACGACACTCTGCGTTCTACCCTCTCTGACCTTGGGTTCCAGCCGTCTTCTGCCGACCCGTCGCTGTTCGTTCGTCGTGGCTCCACACCGTTCTTTGTTCTGGTTTACGTCGACGACCTCGTTTTCGCCACTCTGAACAGGGTTGCTTTGGCAGACGTGAAGTCCGAACTGCAGAAGAGACACACGTGCACTGATCTTGGTGAGCTGCGCCACTACCTTGGCCTGCAGATCACCAGGGACAGAGCCGCTCGCACCATTACACTCTCACAGTCACACATGGTGCAGCAGGTCCTTCAGCGGTTCGGCCTTCAGCACTCCACCGTACAGCGCACACCTCTCGCTGTTGACCACAGACTCACTGGTCCCTTTCCTGACGAGCCGTTTGAGCCTAGTGGTCCCTACGCAGAGCTTGTGGGTTGCCTCATGTACCTGATGACTTGTACTCGCCCGGACCTCGCCTTCCCTCTCAGCATCCTTGCGCGCTTTGTTGCGCCAGGGAGACACCGTCCTGTTCACTGGACGGCAGCTGTGAGGGTGGCGAAGTACCTAGCGACTACATCAGGCGTGGGGCTAGTTCTTGGAGGGCAGCAGTCTGTCGTACTCACTGGTCACTGTGACTCCTCTTACGCTGACGACGCTGAGACTCACAGGTCTACTCAGGGGTACTGTTTCAGTCTGGGTTCTGGAGCTGTTTCCTGGCGTTCCACGCGCTCCTCTTCTGTCTCGACCTCTACAGCTGAGGCTGAGATTTACGCTGGTGCCATGGCGGCACAGGAGTTGCGTTGGTTGACCTTCTTGCTCGCCGACCTTGGTGAGCGGCCGAGCTCTGCACCGACCTTGTTCACTGACAACAAGGCGTCGATCCTCCTCTGTCGTGAGCCGCGACTGGAGAGCAGAGTGAAGCACATTCACGTCAGGTACTTTCTTCTGCGAGAGTTGCAGAGACGTGGACAGGCTCGCTTCGAGTTTGTGGAGTCCAAGGCCAACACTGCAGACATCTTCACCAAGGCGCTTCCGCCTCGTGACCACCAGAGGTGTTGTGTGCAGTTAGGCCTTGTTGACACAGGTTCTAGTCATGTGTAGGCTTGAGTTTATTGCCTGCTTCGTCTGTACTCTTGCTATATATACTTGTGATCTCTTGGACTGGCCTTATGGCCACTGTTGCTTGTGCTCAGAGAGTGTGGTGACGTTGTGATCCACCCTGAGCTTTGTTTTCTTTTGGACTGGTCTTGTGACCGTACTCTTTTTTTTATTTTGCTAGACACCCCTCAATTAGGCTATGGGGGTGTGTCAAATGTTGTAGCCTGTAGTGAGGTTTGTCTTAGGGGGTACAGAAGTTAGGGTTTGTTATATGTACCCCAACCAACATCAATGGCATCATCATTCCTCATTTTGACAGGCATGAACCGATTTGGGTCGCGGGGATAGGGTTACTTGACCAAATTTACGCCGAAGTCTGAAAAGGACAGTCGCGAATTTCGCCGATGCGCCTCGCTTGCGCGAAGCCGTTGGCTGGTCGCCACGTATGCCCACCGGTTTGTGTATCTCCCATCTTGACGTCTGTGAACAGCGCGCAACCTCACCGATTGGTTGACGACGCGCGTTTTGGATACGACGCCATTACAGTCCAGAAAGCTGCGACCAAGAAAATGAGTACTATACAGTCCCCCACAATGCGTCTTGTACATTCTGCGAGGAATTTCATGGGAAGTACGCGGCTCGACAAATCTATGAACTTCGATCGACATTAGCTAGTTCGGTAAAATAAGCAGCGTATACACGCACTATCAGAAACACACCAGTACATACGAACACTTCTAGCGAGCTGCATGGCACTTGACGACGTTTGGGAATTCCGCAGATTTTTTGGGTTGCGTAGCAACCTTATACATTCGTTTTCACTCTTAGGTTGGCTGATGTGAACAGTGATAACCCTCCAAGATTTTGGAAGAAAACACTGTTCACATAAGTTACCCTACAAGTGAAACCAAATGTGTCCAATCATCCATAATCGTCGATAAGTACGGCGAATGGAATAATTGGACAATCTCTCCGTACGAATGACGAAACAAAAAAACAAACAAAAAAACAAATCAGCATGACGATCTGAAAGCACACACACGATGCATTCGACACACTCCGAAACAGACACAAACTACCTGACCGCACACGAACTTGCTAAAAAGCGTTTGACAATCAAGAATGTGTCAAGGCTAATGCTAAATGCATCGATGATGATGCAACAGAGGTTGATATGGTGCGGAAGGGGCGAGCAAAGCTGCCCCACCGACGATCACAACCCCAGTTGCATACACGAGGCACTCAACACCAATCCCCGAAACAGACACAAATGACAACACACAAACTTGCACAAAAACGCTGAACACTTAACAGTTGTGAATGCTTCAAGGCGAATGCTAAATGCATCGATGATGCAACTGAGTTTGATATGGTGCGGAAGGGGCGAGCAAAGCTGCCCCACCGACGATCACAACCCCAGTTGCATACACGAGGCACTCAACACCAGTCCCCGAAACAGACACAAACAACACCAACATGTATGGACAGACACATGCAAGCTCACTCACACACACACCTACACACACACACCTACACACACACACCTACACGCACACGCATACAAACACAAAAGCTTACTACCGCTATTGAACATGCAATGCAAGCGTAACGAATGAGCCCAACCTGTATAAATAATCGTTAATCTGTCCCAGATTCCCCTCCCTCCCTCCCTTGTCTCCCACCCCCCCCTCCCTTCCAATATCCCCTATTTTATTCGACCCTCCCGTCTCTGTTTACCCTCTCTCAACCCCCCCCCCCCCCCCCCCCCCCCCCTTTCTCCACAAGAAAAGCCAAATAGTGCAGCTTGAACTCCCTGCACAAGAAAGCACAAACAGCACAAACAGCGCATGCAACTCACACTCCCTGGACAAGAAAGCAAAAACAGATAGTGCAGCTGACACTCCCTGCACAAACAAAAACAAACAATCACAGGAATGCAGCCCACCCGAGCACAAGAAACGAGGTAAGAGTTATAACAAGGCGCTGATGAAGAATGAAGTACAAAAATAAAGATGAGGGACGAAAGCAATCAAATTTGACATCGATTCTGTAAAAGATATCGTGTCGTCACACATACCACACCAACATGCACGCAATACCTCGCTGCCACCCTCGCCTTCACCTTGAAACTCTCATCCTCACACCTCACTCTCGTACTCACTTTCCAACTCACGTACACACTATCGCTCCCAACTTCTGTTATACACGCTCACAGAAACACACACTCCCTGCACTCTCACACTCACACAAAACTCGCATGCACTAGCACGCACACTCGCACGCACCCTTGCATGCACCCTCGCACTCACCCTCAAACTCATCTTCGCACTCATGTTCGCACGTACCCTCGCTCTCACCCTCGCACTTACCATTGCACTCACACCCGCACCCTCGCACTCACCTTTGCACTCACTTTCGCACACTCACTTGCACTCACACTCATACTCACACTCACTCTCTCACTCTAACACTTGCTCTTGCACTGACCCTTGCTCTCACCTTCGCATTCACTCTCGCACTCATGCTCGCACTTCCTCTCGCATTCACCCTCGTACACACACTCTTATGCACCCTCAAGAGCATGCATGCACTCACTCGCACTCACACCCGCACTCATTCTCTCACACTCTCTCGCACTCACGCTCGCAACCACTCACGAACACACAAGTACTTCTAACCGTTCTGAGACACACTCACAGAAACACACACATAAACCCTCACGCTCACCTTCGGACTCGCGCTCGCGCTCACCCTTGCACTCATTCGAACATGCACACGCACACACAGCCGCTCGTACACTCGAACTCAACTCGCACACACACCCACACTCGCACCTACAGCCACGCCCACACTCACGCTCGCACTCCTTCTCTCAGTCCTGCTCGCCCTCACTCTCCCACTCTCTCTTGCACATACTCGTACTCACCCTCGCACTCACTCTTACCCTCACACCACGATCACCCTTGCATGCACTCAACATTGCAGCCACCAACTCACTCACTCAGCCTCACACTCTCGCACTCACTCTTCACTCACACAAATATACTCTCAACTCTTCTTTGACACTTACAAAAACACACACACCCTTGCATATGTCCTCGCGCTCACCCTGACACACACTCAATCGCACCCTCGTGTTCCCTTGCACTCTACCTCGCACGCACACACAAAATCACGCGCGCACTCACCCTCAAACTCGCCCTCGCACTCACACTCGCACTCACTCTCAAACTCGCGCAAGGCGCGAGCGCCCAAGGCGCCAGCGCGCAAGGCGCCAGCGCGCAAGGCGCCAGCGCGCAAGGCGCCAGCGCGCAAGGCGCCAGCGCGCAAGGCGCCAGCGCCCAAGGCGCCAGCGCGCAAGGCGCCAGCGCGCATGGCGCCAGCGCGCATGGCGCCAGCGCGCAAGGCGCCAGCGCGCAAGGCGCCAGCGCGCAAGGCGCCAGCGCGCAAGGCGCCAGCGCGCAAGGCTAATGAGGAAACCAATGGGAACGCAATGCTAAAAGGAAACCAATTGGCACAGAGAACTTCCGAAGAAAGTAGAAAACATGAATTCTCGGAGGGAGGAGGGAGGTAATAGGTCCGGAAAACGTAAACGCACCTGAGACAACGGTGCCTCAGAAAACAACGCGCGGTCGGGCAGAAACCCGCGCTCACGCTCGTGCACCCACCAGAGGCGACGGCGGGAAGGGAGGGAGAGGCGACGGAGAGGAGGAAGGGAGAGGCTATGACGGGGTGGGAGGCAGAGGCGATGCAGGATAGGAAGGAGCGGCGACGGCGGCTGAGAGGCAGGCAGAGGAGATGGCGGGGAGTGAGGGAGAGGACACAGTGGGATGGGAGGAGAGGCGACGGCGGGGTGTTAGGAGAACAGAAAAGCTAACATGGTAGGTAGGCGCAACGGCAGGAACCAAAGAAGAGCAAGAACCAAGAACAAGGAAACAAGAATCAAGAACCAAGAATGAAGAAGAGAGGAGCGTCGAATTCGGTTGGACAGGTGTGCAAAGGAAGAATACAAATTCTACTCGTTAGAAGAGTGGATATGTTTTGTTCAGATACAAGTTGTCACATTGTAGAGACAAGAAATGATTCACCATACTAACTTGATAGTGCAATATAATAAGAAAGAGCAATAAGGTAGATGAAGGTAGAAAATTGCCTATTAATAATCGCAAAAAAAATCACCACTCTCCGAATTGTTCCCTGGAAATACTCAAAGCATTTTTATGCGTACAAATATATATATACACATATATGTAATTACTATTCTTCTAAGTAAATACGACCTGATAATCGATTTCCAGAAGTATGATACATTATATGTATGTTTCATATACGAGAAATATACCCTACGCAACCCTTACGACGTAAACGTCGAATCTTGTTAAAGTTAGCAATTGTGCTACTGTGCTAAATTAATACCGAGCCATACCAACGCGAGCAATCCCCACCCACCTGTATTCAAATCTTGAACGTTCCATACCATACTCTCCCTGTCCACCAGTACCGTATTTGCAGAAAGGGGACGCTTTCCGAGGCACATCTATGGTACACACACAAGTTTCCGTGCACCTGCACTGCACATCACTGAGATGAGACACAGCAATATCATTGAGATACAGCACTATCAATGCATGGAGACAGGTCGGCAAGAGGCTTGGACTCCCGAGGCTGTTTCCGAAGCAACCGACGCCGAAGCTCGAGGCTCCGGCTCGTGCTCTGGTGATGCCTGAGTAACAGGGCAACAGTAGGTACCCTGCCTTGTACCATTTGTTCTATCCCCTACAGCACCATCTGGCTTTGCGTGCATCGAGCCAATTGGCTGCTCTAAGTCTTGAGGCGCTGCTGAGTCGTTTTGCTCTGCTGAGTCGTTACGCTCTGCTGAGTCGTTCCTGCGGGCCAGGGAAGCAGCGGAGGAGGAGGAGGAGGATATGGAAGAGGAGGAAGCGGAAGGAGGAGCAGGAGGAGGGGGGTGGCACGGGGAGGAAGTGAGGGAGGAAGGCACGGAAGGGAGGGATTGCAGGGAGGTGAAGCTGGTAGACGAGGTGATGCCTCGGTTGCTGTGAGCTGCCGGCCACAGGCACGCCTGCAGCTCAGTAAACGCCTCCCTCAGTCGAGCCTGCCGCGCCGCCCGCTCCTCCGCCAGTACCACCTCCCTCCACGTGCTGCCCGGCCCAAACTTTTCCCCGCCTGCCCGTGCTGCCCGGTTTCTCCAGCCCCACAGGGACAACCACCATCCGGGCAGCCACCAGAGGTTTCTCCTGCCCCCCCTCTCTCCCTCTCCATCCCCATCACCATCTCCCTCTCCCTCCTTGAAGTAAAGCTCGAGAACGCAGGAGGCGCGGGGATTGACGCGCTTCAAGTCGGAGACTAAGTGAAAGGCTGCTGAGTCGACCAGCAGGTGGCTGCACACCCCTCCGCTGCAGATGGCGCCAGTGCTGGGGGGCTTGCTTGTAGGCGGTGTGATCATGCCGGTTGGGGTGGATGGTGGGGTGGTTGGTGCGCTTCTCGGGGGTGACGTGCCCTCCTTGTAGCCTATTAGCTGGTGGGGAGGGAGGGAGGGAAAGAGGGCAGGAGGGAGGCACGGGGATTGACGGGCTTCAAGTCGGAGACCAAATGAAATGCCACTGAGTCGACCAGCAGGTGGCTGCACAACCCTCCGCTGCAGATGGCGCCAGTGCTGGGGGGCGTGCTTGTAGGCGGTGTGATCATGCCAGTTGGGGTGGATGGTGGGGTGGTTGGTGCGCTTCTCGGGGGTGACGTGCCCTCCTTGTAGCCTATTAGCTGGTGGGGAGGGAGGGAGGGAAAGAGGGCAGGAGGGAGGCACGGGGATTGACGGGCTTCAAGTCGGAGACCAAATGAAATGCCGCTGAGTCGACCAGCAGGTGGCAGCACACCCCTCCGCTGCAGATGGCGCCAGTGCTGGGGGGCGTGCTTGTCGGCGGTGTGATCATGCCGGTTGGGGTGGACGGTGGGGTGGTGGGTATGCTCCTGGGGGGTGATGTGCCTTCCTTGTAGCCTATGAGCTGGTGGGGGTGGTGGAGGGAGGGATGGCGGGGTAGAGGGAGGGAGAGAGGAAGGATTCTAGAGTTGCCTGGAAAATCAATCCGTTGATAAGGATGGTGGAGGTAGAGGGGGTGGAAGACGGAGGGAGGGAGGAAAGGGATCAGTGCGAAGGTCAAGTAAGGGCGAACCTGTAAGCTGGTATGCAAAGTACAAAGAGTACAAGAAGTATAGAAAAATACGAGTGAGAAAATGGTGTGAGAAATGCCGGAGTTGACTTGCATGGACTGGGACTGACTCACGATGACTCCCGTTGACTCACCTGTGGCGGGCCGCCCATGTGGTTGGTGGAGTAGAGTTATTTTGAGACGTCTCAAAATAAAGCCACATCAACGAGGTCACAGTATGCCTCCACACTGCTGCATTGACTCACGCTGACTCGCATTGACTCGCATTGACTTCCACATAATGCCATTGATTCCCACTCACCTGTGGAGGTCCCCCCATATGGTTGGTGGAGTAGAGTGTAGCCACGTCCACGAGGTCACAGTACGCCTCCACACTGCAGTACTTGCATTGACTGGCATTGACCCCTGTTGACTCACTTGTGGTGGTCCGCCCATATGGTTGGTGGAGTAGAGCGTAGCCACGTCCACGAGGTCACAGTACGCCTCCACACTGCTGGCAAACAGCTTGTGCGACCGCAGCTGCTCGTGCACCGGCACTCCCCTCTTTGTCAGAATGGCCCGCCTGGGATAGCAGGTAGGAAGTCCAGGGAAGGGGAATGCAGCATGAAGAGAGAGGGGGTGGTGGGTTGGACAGAACGTGAATAGAGAGAGAAGAGGCGGAACAGCTTGTGCGACCGCAGCTGCTCATGCACGGGCACTCCCCTCTTTGTTAGAATGGCCCGCCTGGGATGACAGGAAGGAAGGTGAGGGGTGGGAAGATGGAGACGAGTTGTGCCGTCTAAGCTACTCCTGCACCTTCGCCCCATGTCTTACCACACCCTCCACCCCATGCCCCATGCCCCATGCCGTACCTCACACATACCCCATGCCCATCCCCATGCCCTACCCCATGCCGCACCCCTCCCACGACCCACCGCATGCCGCGCACAACAGCCAGGTGGGCATCACACATCACGCCCACCAGCTCGATACGGTACGGCAGCCGATGCTCCCCCCCTCCCCCCCGCCCCCTCCTCTCCCAACACATCTCTCCTCCCCTGTGCCTCCTTCCCATGCCCTCCGCGCCCCCTTTTTCCTGCCCCTTCCCGCTGCTGGAGCAGCTCGAACGATCTAATCGGTCACCCGCAGCTCTCCCTCCCACGCCCAATCTGGTCCCTCCCCCCGATCCCAAGGCCCTCCGTGGACTGCTGTGCCTCTTGGGCCGGTGCTGCTGCTCCTCTTTTTGAGCCCACTCATATGGCTCAAAATTCTGCTCCTCTGGCTCTTTCACTGGCTTATCCCTCCTCCCCTCCACCTCCTCCCCTCTCTCGCTCCCAACCATCTCTCCATCCGCTCTCTCCTTCCCCTCCTCCACCACTCCCTCACTCCCATCCTCCTCCTCCACCTCCTCCCAATACCGCTCCACCACACTCCCATCCTCTTTCACTCGATACCCCGGCCCCATCCTAAACCGCCTCTCATGCACCCGTCTAGCCATGGCAATCGTCTGCTGCACAAACGGGGCCCACGACATGGTCCCGTCAAATATCACGTCCCGCCCCTCGTTCAGCGCGGTAACCAGCGTTGACTGCGCCGCCCGGGTTGACTCCTCGTGCACGAGCTGCGAAATCCGGGCGGCGTCGCTCAGCCGGTCGGCGGAGAGTGCTCGGAAGATTGCGTCCTTTTCTTTGAATGCGTCGGCTTCGACCACCACCGCATGTGGCGCCATGTGCGCCCAAAAGGTGCTGTGGGGGGGACGAAAGGGGAAGGATAGAAGGGGAGGGGCGGAAGGAGGATTGAAGAAGCACAAAAGAGCGCTCTGGAGATTTTGTACATTTCCTTGAAGGTGTCTGCTTCCACGACCACTGCATGGGGCCATGCGTGCCCAGAAAGAGCTGCGGAAAAGGAAGAGAGCGAGAGGGGCGGTTGAAGAGAGAACGCTGGGAAGATTGCGTCCTCCTTGAAGGCGCCGGATTCCACAGCTGCGCGCCCAGAAAGAGCTGCGGAAAAGGAAGAGAGCGAGAGGGGCGGTTGAAGAGAGAGAGGTGGGAAGCGCCTTCTTCGATAACTACTGCGTGTGGCGCCATGCGCGCCCATAAGGTGCTGGGGGGTGGGGGGAGGAGGGGGGGTGGGTGGGTGGGGGGGAAATGTTATGCGGGGAAGGGAGAGTGGTGAAAGGGGAGAAAGAAAGCAGAGGAAAGTGCTTCTAATCAGCAGCAGCACAAGCTTCTTGCAACTCAGCCCTGATAGCCCACGAGCTCTAGCTCTCAACACCGCACTGGATGCCTTTGTCTCCCGCAGCACCCCCCCTCACCGTTTCATGATCTCCTTGACCACAGTTGACTTGCCGGCGCCCATGCCCCCACCAATCAGAAGCAACACGGGCGAGCGCACCGCCGCTGCTGCCGGCACCATCACCTCCCCCTCCCTCGGGATCTCCGCACTTGAGGTGCGCGGGCGGGAGGGCGAGCGGGAGGGAGAGTGAGAGTGCAAAGGAGAGCGAGAGGGGGAGTGAGAGGGGGAGGAAGTGGGGAACTGGAAGAGGGAGTGAGAGGGGGAGTGGGCGGTGAGGTTGTCACCCTCAGGGAGTGGGAGCGGGTCTCTGGTGCTTTTTAAGCGGACTTCACTCCCACTCTCACTCTCAGGGCCATCTCTTCCCACTGCTTCACTGCGCTCGGCCGTATCTCTACCTTCCCGTCCATTCCCTCCTTCAGATGCACTCCCCTGGCCTCCTTTTCCCTGCTCCGCTCTCCCTTGCTCCACTCCTCCCCCTCCCCCCCCCACTCCCCCTGCTCCGCCCAGGCGGGGGCCACAGCCGAGGACCTTCATTTCTTCCAGCAGCTGGGAGAAGCGCTGCTGCGGGCGCAGACACGTTATGGCCTCGTTGAACCGCCTCTGCCTGCAAAGGGGGGGCCGGGCGAGATGGGCGGGAGGGGGTGGGGTGTGGGGATGGGGGTATAGAGTGAGTGAGGAGGAGATGAGAAGAGCTAGGAGAAGCGCTGCTGCAGGCGCAGAGCATGATATGGTATGATAGTGCCATTATTACTACAACAACTTATAAAAATGGCATGAATATTAGTTTAAACTACAACAACAATAACAGTAACTCCTGGCACACTGTAACGTAGGGAGGTGGGGTAACTAGCTGCAGTTCATGCAGAGTTGGGTTCTTTACAACGGAGGCCCCTTTTTTTGAGAATTCTCATCGCAATGGGCCAAACTCCGCATCGTGTAGACCTGCAGTGCAGCACTCACCGGATGACGGCGTTGACGGCGTCCCTCAAGTGCAGCTTACTGCTGGGCCCTCGGAACACCTGCGTGCAACAACGGGACATGCACAGGCGCTCACGCATGGATGGGCGCACAGAGATGGGGGAAATGCACTCAGGCAGGTGGCATGCACATGCACATGCCAAGAAGGGAACACGCCCATGCACATGCCAAGAAGGGAAGGGAACACGCCCATGCACATGCTCGTGTGCTCAGATTGCTCCCACTGACATAGGCTATCCCGATATCAATCAAAGTGACTTTCGAGCCAACTTTCCAATGACCCGCCGACCCCGGACCTCCTGCCCACCTGTTCGATCATGAGCGCGGAGTGCGGCCAGTGGAAGCCAAAGTAGAGCTCGGCGCGCTCATACATGAGTCAACCACCCCACCCTAACCATCACCCGTCTCCTTCCCTCACCTTCCTCCCCACTGCCTACTCCCCTCCCCTCACCTGTTCGATCATGAGCGCCGAGTGCGGCCAGTGGAAGCCAAAGTAAGACAGCATGCACGCGTCCAGCTCCGCGATCAGCTCCTCCCCCAGCTCCTCCCCCGCCTCCGCCTCCCCTTCCGCGCCGCCTCCCCCTGTCTGCGCGACGAGCGCGAGCAGGTTGGCGCGGCTCTTATCGGATGTGCTCTTATCGCCCCGCACGTAGTCGTCCGCCGCCTGCGCCAGTAGCGCCACCGCCGCCAGGTCCGTGGGCAGCCCCAGCTGGCGCACTGGCGGACGGGGGAGGCGGAGAGGCGGAAGGGGGAGGCGGAGAGGCGGAATGAGAAAGAGGGTGGCGGAAAGGGGACGGCGCGTAGCGGACGGGGAAAGGGAGAGAAACGGCAGGGGGAAAAGGGACAGGGAAGTGTGCGGAATGGGAGAAGAGGGGAGGCGAAGACGGACAGTGGGTTGAGAGACTGGAATGATATGCCTACTACTCGCACGAAAAGTAGGCGCTGATACTTATATCCACTAAGTTAGCTATTAATATTCATCCCTACTACGTCAGCGATTCGGACTCGTCGTGTTTCACGCACCAACGTATTCGCCGAATCGCTCGATCCGTTTCACTTTCCCCGAACTCGCCGACCGTTCCACCAGCGGAACTAAATGAGCCACGCGCTCTCTCTCCTTTTCCGCGCCGCCGTGTTTCTCGCCGGTAAATACGCTGCGCCACGACAAGGCCCGCCGCCCACCGCTGGGCGGCACGCATTTCTGCGCGCGTTTGGCCCATTGACGCAGCCCTCGCAGGCCGACCAAGGACAGGCCGACAGCTGTCGCTGCGGCGGCGAGCGCAGCTATGGTTACGACTGACGGGCCGCGCCCTCCCCCGCTCACAGTGATGGTGCCTCCAGCCATGTCAGAGCAAGAAGGGGCTTTCTGCATCTGTGCAATTAAACATAAATGATAAAAACAATGTTTTCCGCCCCTCAAACATGGGGGTGTAGCTCACATGGTAGAGCGATCGCTTTGCATGCGATAGGTACGGGGATCGATACCCCGCGTCTCCAGGCTCTCCAGTTTTGCTTTATGTGTCACCTCGTTCAGACTGTCATTTGTTCGTCAATTTGTTCAGTCTTCTTTCGCTTCGTCACCGCGTCTTCTTGTAAAGAGAATGCTTCCCCAACCACTTACGTTTGACGAATCGAGATGATCGGAGCAAACAACAGCAGCTTATGAAAGAGCAGCCTCAATATTGCGGTTCAGTGTTTTCTAAGTTGCTGTTTCAGTTAGGTGACACTGATAGGGTTAGGATGCTCTAGGCCCCGGTTTTCTGTCCAGCGCTTGTGCACAAAATTTCCCCTTTTCCGCTTGCAAAGTTCCGTGCTGCTTCGCTGACGTCTGTTCACTGCGGTCCTAGGGATTACCGCGTGAAAACGTTTTGCGGAATACTTCGCCATGGCGCCGCAGCATCGCGCCACGCGGAAGCTCCGCGACGCGCTATCGGCGCGCATTGAGGCGTACGAGGCGGACAAGATGGGTCGCCAGGCCGACATGGCTCGGCACGCTGCAATGGAGCAGAGAGCCGCCAAGAACGGCCGGCTAGCCAGCAACATTAGCGGGGACAACGGTTACATTGGCTATGATCGTGGTGATAGTTCATCAGGCTTAGGGAATAGTTTCTCTGGCTTCCGCAATGCACGTCCTGCTTCAAACGGGGGTTCGCGATCCCCCCGGAAAATCGAGGAAATCCTGCCGTGCGTTCCCGAGGACGCTCCAATCTCACCGTCGGATTCAGATGACTCGCTAGCAGCGCGCGAGGAAAAACTCCCGTTTCAAGGGTTCAGACGACGGCCTGTGGGACCCACCGCTAGTAGCACATCCCGCATTGTCACATTTGACCCTGCTCTTAGTACCGACCGAGCCGCCTCTTCGTCTTCCTCCTCCTCCTCCTCTTCCTCCGCCGTCTCCTCGTCCTATGGAGGAGCATCGCTCGGGATGCGCACATGGGCGCAGATATCGGCGCGCTTGGCCTGGTTACTCTTCTGCCTCGTCTCCCACGCCAGCCACGTGGCAAATGACTTCACCCTCCTCCTAGGCTTTTTCCTCACCGGGCAGGTGCTCACGCTGCCCGGCGCCGGCGCGTCGACGTCGCAGCACCTTCACCTGCCCGTTTTTGGCGCGACGAACGTGCACATCGGGCCGGCGAAGGGTAACACGTCTGCGAAGTTTATTCGCCCGGGCGTGAAGGGCGGCATCAGCATCAGCCGCATGTGCAAGAACTGCGCCTCGTTCGTCATGTACGCGGGATGGAACATGCCCGGCGCGCTCGTGACGTGGCAGATGCTCCTCGATGTCGTCACTGCTGTCGCGTTATTGTCCATCCCGATACAGCTCTACGTCTTCGTTAAGAGCTCCAAGGCGAGTGATTATATGCGCTGCTGATTCGCGTGCTCGGATGTTGAGACGTCTCAGTACGAGGCCGTGCTTACGAGTGTGGTATGGTAGCCTCGTTTCTCCGTGCCTGCCTGCCTTTCCCAGTCACCCTTTAGTCCCTCGTCCCTCGTTTCTTCCGCCAACTCGATTCCACCTTACTTCCCTCCCCGTGACCTCTCTCTCCTTCTCTACCCACAACGTAATTGGTGTTTGAAGAAGGGTTTTGAGACGTCTCAAAACCTCTCTCTCCTTCACTACCCACAACGTAATCGGCTTCTTTCTGTCGGATTTCCCTTTTCGCGTGCTCCGTCTCGTCGTCCCTGCTCCTCTGCTCATTCCTCTCCCCACTCTCTTCGCTCGTCTCCCATCTCTCCTCTCTCCTCGCGCCTCATGCCAGCGAACTCACTCCTCAGCTCCTCCCCTCTTTCCCCAATACCCCTTTCCCCCCGTACAGAAGTTCCCCTACCATTTGCTCATCCTGCAGTTCGGCGCCTTCGTCACCACCACGGGGTGAGTCATACCATGCCCATGTGTTAATCATGCCATGCCATGCCATGCCACAATGCCCTGCCCTGCCCATGTACAGCATGCCACACTCATGCCAGCTGTCGGCGCTCATCAGCTGCTGCCCTGTCTGCGCCCACACTCCCTCATTCTTCCCCACCCTCCCCCTTTCCCCCCCTTTCCCCTCTCCCCCCGTCTCCCCTCCTTCCCCCAGCCTAACCCATCTGTTGGAGCTGTTCTCATACGGCCATCTGCCGCGATTCCTGCTGCTGGGCATCACGGCGTGCAAGCTGCTCTCCGCGCTCATCAGCTGCTGCACCGTGCTGCAGCTGGGGCTCGAGCTGAGCGATATCGCCATGGTGCACGAGAGGACTGTGCAGCTCAAGAGCAAGGTGAGAAGTGAGGGGGGATGGGTGGCAAGGCAAGGCTAGGTGGAGGAGAAGATGGGCCGAGTCTTGAGAAACTTGTTTTTTGAGAATTCTCAAACAAGATGGGCCAAGTCTTGAGAAACTTGTTTTTTGAGAATTCTCAAACAAGATGGGCCAAGTCTTGAGAAACATTCTCGGGTTTCAAAGACCTCTGCTTCCATCACAACTGGGGCTGGATCATATCTGGACGTTTCAGAAGCCCTTTTCCCCGCCTTGCTCTCCCCACTTCCCACGTTTCCCCCCCCCTTCCGTTGTGTTCGCCCTTCGTGTTCAACTCTTCGTCTCTTCTCCCCACTTTCTCCCGTACAAGTAGATGGAGGAGAGCAACAAGGAGGTAACGAGATTAATGGAGGCGCACGAGGTGGAGCAGCAGCTGAGGCTGATATGCCAGCGCATGGTCTCGTGCCCCCTTCCTTTCCCCGTTATCACCTCTTCGCCCCTCTCTTGTATCTTCCTTGTCTCCCTTCCCTCCCTTGTGCTGAGCGCTCACCGTCTTTTTGCCCTCCCTTGCGTTCCCCCCTTTCCCTCCCAATGGCAGACGGAGGAGAGCAACAAGGAGGTGACGCGGCTGATGGAGGCGCACGAGGTGGAGCAGCAGCTGCGGCTGATAGGCCAGCGCATCCGCAGCACGCTGGACCGCGGGGTCATCATCAGCACCGCGCTGCTCGAGCTGCGCGACCTGCTGGGCCTCGAGAACGCCGCGCTCTGGCTGCCAGCCCCTAACGGGCGGTCCCTGGAGCTGACGAATGAGTGCGAGCACAGAGTGAATCCCATGCTCACACTCGTGCCGCTCAAGGACAAGGTCGTCTCGCAGGTGGGTCATATCACAAGGCACAAGCCATTAACCGCAGCCTTTCAATCCTTCGACCAATCTACACTTCAGGCAAGAGCCTTACGTACTAGAACGACCTGACCTGCTGGGACTTGGTAACGATGCGCTCTGGCTGCCCGCGCGCGCCCAATGGGCGGTCGCTGGAGCTGACCAACGAGTGCAAGCGAGCACAGAGTGAATCCCATCCCATGCTCTCGCTCGTTCCCCTCAAGGACAAGGTCGTCTCGCAGGTGAGCTCTGCCAGCCAGGCCTTCAGCGCTTGTGCACGTGAAACCCTACGCACTTGAACAGCCTCTGAGTGAGCCCTCGAGAACGCCGCGCTGTGGCTGCTCTCGCCCAACGGCCGGTCACGTGAGCTGACGAATGAGTGCGAGCACCGGGTCAACCCCATGCTCACTCTTGTTCCCCTCAAGGACAAGGTCGTCTCGCAGGTGAGCTGTGCCAGCCTTTCAGCCCTTGAGCGCGTGAAGAAGCCGTGAGTGAGCCCTTGGGGAACGCCGCGCTCTGGCTGCCCGCGCCTAATGGGAGGTCCCTGGAGCTGACTAATGAGTGCGAGCACCGAGTCAACCCCATGCTCACACTCGTGCCTCTCAAAGACAAGGTCGTCTCTCAGGCATGTGCTGCCAGCCAGCCTTCAAGGCTTCAACAACCCTTGAGCCTCCTGACTTATACCTTTCCCTTTCCCTTTCCAACCGAGCGGCCATGGTCATCCCTTCACCCTGCCAGCTCGTGGAGTCAACTCAGAATTTCCCCCGCCCTTCCTGTCCGCTTCCCCTCCTCTCGCCCCCCCCACTCCTTCCATCTTCAGGTGATAGCCAACCGCGCAGCCATGATCATCCCATCATCCTGCCAGCTTGTCGAGTGCTCCGCACTGCCGCCCCCACTAGGCTCGGGCCGAACCATTGAGGGAGGTAAGGCGGCCTGCTGCTTGCTGCGCATCGAGTGGCGGGTGGCTCGTGAGGTGGCTGCAGGTTGCTGCTCCTCTTGGAGTGAGAAGTGTCAAGCTTGAGGGGGGTCAGGAGTGAGAGGATTAAGGGGGGTAGGAGTGAGAGGATTAAGGGGGGTAGGAGTGAGAGGATTAAGGGGGGTAGGAGTGAGAGGATTAAGGGGGGTAGGAGTGAGAGGATTAAGGGGGGTAGGAGTGAGAGGATTAAGGGGGGTAGGAGTGAGAGGATTAAGGGGGGTAGGAGTGAGAGGATTAAGGGGGGTAGGAGTGAGAGGATTAAGGGGGGTAGGAGTGAGAGGATTAAGGGGGGTAGGAGTGAGAGGATTAAGGGGGGTAGGAGTGAGAGGATTAAGGGGGTAGGAGTGAGAGGATTAAGGGGGGTAGGAGTGAGAGGATTAAGGGGGGTAGGAGTGAGAGGATTAAGGGGGGTAGGAGTGAGAGGATTAAGGGGGGTAGGAGTGAGAGGATTAAGGGGGGTAGGAGTGAGAGGATTAAGGGGGGTAGGAGTGAGAGGATTAAGGGGGGTAGGAGTGAGAGGATTAAGGGGGGAGCCAGGAGATTGGGAACTGCAGTGTGGCATTCTGCTGCTGCTGCTGCAACTGATACCTGAAATGCATTTCTGCCCTCATCCCTCCCACCTCCCCCCTCCCTCCCCTTCTTTCCCCATCTGTTCTCCCGCTCTCCTGTCCTGCCCTCCCCATCCTCCCCCAGGCGCTGCTGCCGTGCCGGTGACACTGGCAGACCCAGCCACGCCGGGAGCAAGGAGCCCTCAGGACGCGGCCTCCATGGAGTATGGCGTGCTCGTGTTGCTGCTGCCGGGGGAGGTCGCGGAGAAGGGCAAGGGGGGCGCAGGCGGAGGCGGAGGGGCGGGTGGAGGGGGAGGGGGAGGCGGAGGGGGAGAGGGCGGGTTGAAGAAGTTCCGCCAGGAGGTGCTGGAGAAGGTGGATACGGTTGCTGAGCAGGTGAGAGGGGAGGGGAGATCAGGAAAGGGGGGAGTTTCGAGATCAGGAAAGGGGGGAGTTTCGAGATCAGGAAAGGGGGGAGTTTCGAGATCAGGAAAGGGGGGAGTTTCGAGATCAGGAAAGGGGGGAGTTTCTTACTTGACTAAGGTATTTTCAGCAGGGAGGTGCTGGAGAAGGTGGATACGGTGGCGGTACAGGTGAGAGGGGAGGGGAGGGAGGGAAGTGGAGGGGGGTGGTGGGCGAGATTTCTGAGATTCTGAGGGGGAGGGGGCGGTCTGATACAGTATCCCTCTCTCCTTCTCTCCTCCCCGGCCACAGCTGGCAGTGGCGCTGCGGCATGCGGGGGTGCTGGAGGCGAGCCGGCAGGCACACGAGGTGTTGCTGGAGGAGGGCGAGCAGCTCAAGCAGGCCAACCTGGAGGGCAAATCCGCTGTCAAGGCGCGAGACAACTTCCTGCAGGTGCGTACTGGACAGGTGCCATCTGCGGCAGGCAGGTGCCATCTGCGGCAGGTGCCATCTGCGGCAGGTGCCATCTGCGGCAGGTGCCATCTGCGGCAGGCGCCATCTGCGGCAGGTGTCGTCTGAGACAGGTGCCATCTGAGACAGGTGCCATCTGAGACAGGTGCCATCTGAGACAGGTGCCATCTGAGACAGGTGCCATCTGAGACAGGTGTCATCTGAGACAGGTGTCATCTGACACAGGTGTCATCTGAGACAGGTGTCATCTGAGACAGGTGTCATCTGAGACAGGTGCCATCCAAGGCAGGTGCCATCCGAGGCAGGTGCCATGTGCCATGTCAAGCTAGTATTGTCGTGGTGTAGTTTTTTTTTAAGACAGGTGGGATCTGGGGTGGGTGCTCTCTCAGTCATGCGTTGTTGTGGTCCCTTTTGACCCGACCTTCCTTTTCTTTTCCCCCCTTCCCTCTGCAAGTGATGAACGCCAAGATGCGCACGCAAATGCACCCCGTCACCGTGCTCTCCCATGTCCCCGTGCCCTTCCTTCCCCACTCCCCCATTTTCTCCCTACACCCCCTCCGCCCCCCTCCCCCCTCCGCCCCTCTGCCCCCTCTGCAGGTGATGAACGCCAAGATGCGGACGCCAATGCACTCCATCACGGCGCTCTCATCCCTTCTCGCCGAGTCGGATCTGAACGACGAGCAGCGCTCCATGGCGGAAACCGTCGCCTTCTCTTCAACCCTCCTCGCCTCGCTGCTGTACGACATCCTCGAGTTCTGGCGCCTGGAGGAGGACAACATGAAGCTCGTGCTCGGCCCCGAGCAGTTCGAGCTGCCGGCTCTGGTTACCGAGGCGGAGACGTTATCATCCCCCATCGCCAAGGACAAGGGCATCATGCTGACTTTCAAGGCGGATCCGAACTTGCCGGAGAGTGTGATCGGGGACGGCAACAGGCTGCTGCAGGTGCGTTGGTATGGGGGTGAACAAGAGAGTACATGACTCGATCCAGGCCTGCTTGTACCTCGTGGAGTTCTGGCGCCTGGAGGACGACAACATGAAGCTCGTGCTCGGCCCAGAGCAGTTCGAGCTGCCGGCTCTGGTTACCGAGGCAGAGACGTTATCGTCGCTTATTGCCAAGGACAAGGGTATCATGCTCACCTTCAAGGCGGACCCGAACCTGCCGGAGAGCGTCATTGGGGACGGGAACCGGCTGCTGCAGGTGCGTTGGTATGGAAGTGGGCAGTAGAGAGTATGTATGACTGGATCTTTGAGGCGCCTGGAGGAGGAGGACAACATGAAGCTCGTGCTCGGCCCCGAGCAGTTTGAGCTGCCCGCACTGGTCACCGAGGCCGAGACGCTCTCGTCGCCCATCGCCAAGGACAAGGGCATCATGCTCACCTTCAAGGCGGATCCGAACCTGCCGGAGAGTGTGATCGGGGATGGCAACAGGCTGCTGCAGGTGCGTTGGTTTGTGGGAGTGAGTGAGTGAGCAGTAGAGGTATACGACTGGGGTGTTTGAGGCGCCTCTCAGGCCTCAAGAAACGCCTGTGACAAGCTGTGGCACCTCCGCACTCGTAAGTGTTCTTGAGTTACCTGCACTCTTTTGAGACGTCTCAAAAGACGTCTCAACACTCGAGCCTCAAGAAACGCCTGTGACAAGCTGTGGCACGAGAATGTTGTTGAGTTGCCCGCACCGCACTCCTCGGCACCCAGGTGGAGGCTCTATCCTCCCCTCTTGCCAAGGACAGAGGCATCATGCTCACCTTCAAGGCGAAGCCTCACCTCCCTGAGAGCTTAATTGGGGACAAAACAAAGGTTGCTATTTGAGCTGGTTTTTTAGAATTCTCAAAAACCAGCCCAACCTTCCTGAGAGCTTAATTGGGGACAAAAGTCGCTATTTGAGTCGACTAAGAAATTGACCTGCCTGAGAGCATGATTGGGGACAGGAACCGGCTGCTGCCGGTGCGTGCGTGCGGTTTAGCGGCATAGCTTTCCATCAAGCACGTGGGTGGGAACCTAAGCCCACTCATACACACACATTATACCCCCTGCCCCCTTTCACCCTCCCGCTCTTCCCCCCAGGTGCTGCTGAATGTGATAAACAACGCCATCAAGTACACAAACACGGGTACCATCACAGTCACCGTGGCCCCCGAGCGCATGGAGTGGGCGCGCGACGGCTTCGTGCTCAAGGCGGAGGCGGCAAGCTCCCAGGGCACACGTTCATCCCAAGTGCTCTCCACCGCAATGCACCGCAATACACTGTGTGATTCACCTCCTCTTCACCTTCTTCCTCCCCTTCCCACTCTACCACCCCCAGGTCCTACTGAACGTGATAAACAACGCCATCAAGTACACAAACACGGGCACCATCACCGTGACCGTGGCCCCCGAGCGCATGGAGTGGGCGCGCGACGGCTTTGTGCTCAAGGCGGAGGCGGGCCACACGTTCATCCGCTTCGAAGTCAAGGACTCGGGCGTGGACCTTCAAGCTGCGGATATTCCGAAGCTGTTTGACAAGTTCCAGGAAGACGAGACCAAGGGCAGCAGGACTGGATTGGGGTTGGCGCTCTCCCGCAAGTTCGTGCAGGTGAGGCCCGGGTTGAGAGCCCCTGGGGGGACGGGGCGGGGTGCATGGGGGGACGGGACGGGGCGTGCAGGGCAGCAGGGGCAGGGCAGCAGGGGCAGGGCAGCAGGGGCAGGGCAGCAGGGGCAGGGCAGGGGCTGCGTGCTCAAGGCGGAGGCGGGCCACACGCTCATCCGCTTTGAGGTGAAGGACTCGGGCGTGGACCTCCAAGCCGCTGGCTGTATGGAGAGTAAGAGCCGTGTGGCAGGGTGTATGGAGGGGGCAGGGAGTGGACCTGTGCTCAAGGCGGAGGCCGAGGTGAGTGCTGGGGTGAGGTGAGACTCTGGCGGTGGTTGGAGGGAAGATTGGTGGGAAGATTGGTGGGAAGATTGGTGGGAAGATTGGTGGGAAGATTGGTGGGAAGATTGGAGGGTGTGGGAGGAATATCAGGGTACCCTCTCGAACCATGGCTCCACTACGGCTCCCTTTGGGAAGCATGTGTAGGTGAGGGTGGGTGATGGTCGGAGTGAGAGGAAAGCCACTTGAAGATTCATAAGGTGCCTCCCTCTCTGTGTTTCTCCATCCATGCATCTCTGCCTCCTTGCCCACATACCAGCTGATGAACTAGCATATCTGCATTTTCCCTCCCTGCTTCCCCTCCTACCTCTCTGCCGCCCCCTCCCTCCCTTCCTTCCTCCCTCCCTCCCTTCCTCCCTCCCTTCCTCCCTCCCTTCCTCCCTCCCTCCCTGCCTCGCTGCCTCCCTGCCCCACTGCCGGAACCGCAGCTGATGAACGGGCACATATGGATGGAGAGCAACGGGCGGGGCAAGGGAGCGACATGCAAGTTCCTGGCCATGCTCAAACTGGACGCCGAGGGCAGCGACCGCAGCGACGAGGACGAGGACGAGGGGCCTGACGTCAACTTCTTTGCTTTGCGGGTGAGTCAGCTTCAAGTGCCGGTTTTGGGGCGAGATGACACCTCCTTTACTCCATGGAGTTTGTCTCGTTGTCCTAAAACAACACGAGTGGATGGAAGTAAGGCCTTCGCAGCCCAGATGTCCGCTTTTGACAAGTGCCAGATGGGGGTGAGGTGACACCTCCTTTACCCTCTCCTACCATAACGCCGCTTCCCCCGCTTCCCCTCCCCATCATCGCAAATCGGTAACCCATGCTCTCAGCGTGGGAGGGGTGGTAACTGACTCACTCTCTCCTTTCCCCTGCCCCCCTTCCCCTCCCCTCTCTTTATCCGTACCATGGTGGTAGACAACAACATGGTGAACCGGCTGGTGACGAAGCTCCTGCTTTTGGTGCCTCAAACTCCTGGCACCCCCCCCTTCCTCTTTCGCCCTACCCTTCTTCTTTCTTCCCCTGCCTTTTCCTTTCCCAGCTCATGGTGGTGGATGAAAACATTTTGAGTCGACTGGTGCCATGTAAGCCAAGTCCTGAAGCTCCTCCCCTGCCTTCCCACCTGACCCCTTTGTCAACCAACCCAACCCCAACCCCAACCCCAACCCCTCATCTCTCCACCCACCCCAGATCATAGTGGTGGATGACATGACAACATGGTGAAGTGCCTCGTGACGAAGCGTCTTCTTGATTGCATCGGAATCTCAACGCGCGTGGTGGAGTCGGGCAGGGAGTGCCTGCGCATCCCACATCCCACATCCCACATCCCACATCCCACACCCCACATCCCACATCCCACATCCCACACCCCACATCCTACATCCCACATCCCACATCCCACATCCCACACCCCACATCCCACATCCCACATCCCACATCCCACACCCCACATCCCACATCCCACACCCCACATCCCACATCCCACATCCCACACCCCACCCACCTCCACTTAACCCCACCGATCCCCACAACCCCATCCTTTCCCTTCCATCTCAGATCATGGTGGTGGATGACAACATGGTGAATCGACTGGTCACAAAGCGTCTTCTGGATCGCATCGGCATCTCAACGCGTGTGGTGGAGTCGGGCAAGGAGTGCCTGCGCATCCTGGCGGAGGAGCAGGACGAGGAGAAGTACGATGTGCTGCTGCTCGACCTCATGATGCCCGAGGTGGGTTGAAAGGGGGGGGAAGAGGGGAGGGGGAGTGGGATGGTGGTTGGGTTGGGGGGTACTCCCCTTGGAGCAGGACGAGGAGAAGTACGATGTGTTGCTGCTCGACCTCATGATGCCCAAGGTGGGTTGAAAGGGGGGGGAAGAGGGGAGGGGGAGTGGGATGGTGGTTGGGTTGGGGGGTACTCCCCTTGGGAGCAGGACGAGGAGAAGTACGATGTGCTGCTGCTCGACCTCATGATGCCCGAGGTGGGTTGAAAGGGGGGGGAAGAGGGGAGGGGGAGTGGGATGGTGGTTGGGTTGGGGGGTACTCCCCTTGGGAGCAGGACGAGGAGAAGTACGATGTGTTGCTGCTTGACCTCATGATGCCCGAGGTGGGTTGAAAGGGGGGGGAAGAGGGGAGGGGGAGTGGGATGGTGGTTGGGTTGGGGGGTATGCCCGAGGTGGGTTTGTTAGGGGGAGGAGGTGAGGGAGAGGGGGGTGGGGGAGGGGGTGGGTGTTCATCAAGGAAAGGTGAGCACGGGAGGAGCAGGACGAGGAGAAGTACGGCGTTGTGCAGCTAGACCTCATGATGCCCAAAGTTGGGACACATGGAAAGAGGGGAGGGAGGGAAGGGGGAGGAGGAAGAGGAGGGGGGACGTGGCACTCGGCTTTGCTATGCACTCAGCATCACAACCCGCCTCTGCTCTGCCCTTCCCCCCACTTTCTCACCTCCCACCCCCCCCCCCTCTCGCCTCCTCCAAATGGACGCGTACACAGTGGCCAACAAGATCCGCACAGAGCTCAAGGCAGAGCTGCGGCCGATAATTGTCGTGCTGACGGCCCTCACTCACGGCCCGCCTCTGCCCCTGCCCCTTCTCCCCACTCCTCTCCCTCACCCCCTCCAGATGGACGGGTACACAGTGGCAAACAAGATCCGCACAGAGCTCAAGGCAGAGCTGCGGCCGATGATAGTGGCGCTGACAGCCAACGCGGACGAGACCACCAAGGACCAGTGCCTGCGCCACGGCATGGCCGGCATGATCACCAAACCCATCTCGCTCAACGCGCTTCGTGATGTGCTCGGGAAAATGCTGGACCAGAACGCGCGGAATAACTGAGGGCGAGGGGGAGGGGTGGGGGGGAGGGGGGAGAGAAGGTTGGGCCAGGGGGGGGGAGGGGAGGAGGTGGGAGGGGGAAGGAGGTTTTTTTTAGGTGACTTAGGAGTCGACTCAAAAGGGGGGGGGGGGGGGGGGGAGGGGAGGAGGTGGGAGGGGGAAGGAGGTTTTTTTGAGGCTGGGAGAGGAGCAGAGTAAGTTCTTTAAGAAGCTCAGCGATTCTTCAGGGGCTGGTTTAACATCACTTAGTTCATGCCCATGCGGCACGGCATGGCCGGCACGGCATGGCCGGCACGGCATGATCACCAAACCAGTCTCGCTCAACACCCTCGGCAACGTGCTCGGGAAGATCCTGGACCAGAATGCACGGAATAACTGAGGAAGTCGCATCACGGTGGGTGTGCGGGCACGGAGGAAGGTGGGGAGGGGGGTGGCGGAAGGGGAGCGTGGAAGGGGGGAGGGGGGATGGGGTGTTTTTGCGGCTGGGTGTGGAGCAGAGTAGGTTGTGCTTGGTGAGTAGTGTAGTGTGCATGCAGCTAAACAGAGGGTTGTTGTGAGGTGGCTTTAGGACGATGTTGGATTGAAACAGTCTTGATCTCAGGTTGTACTAGCTGTACCACTACACTAAAAACCACGGTTGTCGCTGAACCTTCTGCGATAATATTCGCCCTAGCATTTTTACCAGTATTTATGGAAAGGCGCCCGGGTCATATCCTGGGAAATGCTGTACATGCTGTATAAATTGAAACATTATAATTTTTAAACACATTGATGTTTTTCAAAATTGTGTATTGTGAAAGCGAAGCTGACTGTACCGAATATTTGGCAGCGTCGAAGCGCGCTAAACGCCCTTCTCCAACTACAAAAACCGTGGGTTGGAGTTCATTCCCTCCACCCACGTTTCTCGTTTTCCAACGGCTCAATCAACATTTCCGTTCGAGTAGTTCTTTTCCCCGTCCAAGCTGGCTAGAACTCGCACCCTTCCCAGAGGCGAGTCACCCTCAACACTTCTGCAAGACATTTTCAACCACAATCGATCTACAATGGCGTCTACGCCGGCACTTAACCGCGTCAATTCGTCTGCGCCGGTTTCCGACTCCGACCGTAACGCCCGAGAAATGACGGGCGATCGCCGTAACAAGCGGCGGGCAGAGGAAGGATCGCCCGCCCCAACTGCCGTGGACGTGCTGTTGGGCGGGCTCGAGGTCAACAAAAACTCGAGCCCGCCCCAGCAGCAGCACCCCTCGGCCCCTGTGGCGCCTGTGGCGCCTGTGGCGCCTGTGGCGCCTGAGGCGCGTGTGGCGCAAGTGGCGACGGCGGCACCTGCAGCACCTGGGGTGCCACACGCGCCTGACGCGGAGCACACGCCGGCGCCTGTGGCTGGACCGTCGCGTCAGCGCCAGAGGCGCCGAACATCGACTTCTTCTGACGCGACGACCCCGGCGTTGACCAACGCGTTGACTCCGGACCAGGTCGCTGCGCTTCTGTCCCTGTTACAGCAACAACCCGCCAGCGTTACAGCTACGGAAATTGCACAACCCGCGGCGTCTGCATCTGCTAACAAGGAAAACGCAAAAAAAGAAAAAGGAGCGCGAGGAACAACGGCGAACCGGCACAACAAGGAAGCACCAGCCAGCATCCCACCTGCGCCAGCGGCCGACAACGACACCGACGGCTCCGACGACGATGATGGTGAGGCTCCGGTCCATACCGCAAATTTTCATTCCATGGAGCATCTTCCCCCCCTCCCCTCTACTACTAACACCACTTGGTCGGCGGCGACGTTCAACGACGAGCACGTGCGGGCGAAAGCGGAGATTCTGGAGGACATGCGGGCCTACCTGAAACACGCAGAGCACAAGCTGCAGCACGGCGACTCGGCGGGCGGACTCGAAATGGTCGTCGCCGCCCTCGACGACATTTCCGCGCGCTTCGACATGTTTCAAGTCGAAGACGCATCCGACGACCGCGTTGCCAAGCGCTACAAGATGTACCTGGAGAAAAGCCTTCTCACCTCGCGGCCGTTCAAGCAAGCCGTCGCGGACGTGGCTGCCATGGACCGAGCGGCGGGCGCTCACGCTCGCTCCCACCGTGGTGGAAACCACGGCGCCAAGGCGTTCGCCCCAAAACGTGGCCCTCCAACCTCGGGCAACTTCCAAGGCTTTCGTGGTTCGTGTTTCCGCTGCGGACAGCCAGGCCACGTCGCCAATGCCTGCCCTCGGAATGGGCATGGGGGCCAAGGACCCGCACCGGTTGTGTAAGGTTCGGGCTATGGTGAAGCGCGCCTCTAGGCGCGATGCACGGTGCACTTTTGAGTGCTTAGACCGTGGGCAGCCTAGTAGGGCTTGCGGTGGCCATGGCCAGCCCTAGGATAGGGTGGTAGAAGTTGGCCATAGGCCTAGCTTTGGGGAAGAGGAAGAATGCCTCTCGGTCCCCTAGGATAGGGTAATAAAGTATGGCCGTAGGTCTAGCTTTGGGGAAGAGGAAGAATGCCTCTCGGTCCCCCGTATGCCCCAATTGATGGGATGAGAAACATGCTAGTAGGCATGACAATGTATGACCATGAGAGATAGGGATTTTATTAAAGGCCCCTCTTGTTTGTCACGGATTAAAAAAAAAAAAAAAAAAAAGAGGAGGAGAAGGGGAGAGGGAGAAAAAGAGAGTACGTACGCTCCTCACTCAAACCGCCACCATGCATGGCAAGGATGAGCAGCCCTGGTTCAACCGTTGGAAGCCCAAAAAGGGTGAGAAGGAGCAAGGGGGGGGGGAGTAGGGCATAGCGATGTCGCCTAGCCCAAGTAAAGGCACGCGCGAAAAGACACGAGCTCATGACAAGCGAAGCATGCAAATGCTCAAACAACAATGGAAACACATCCAAAAAGAGAGGGAGAGAGAAAGAGCGAGAGAGAGAGAGAGAGAGAGAGAGAGAGAGAGAGAGAGAGAGAGAGAGAGAGAGAGAGAGAGAGAGAGAGAGAGAGAGAGCACACGAGGGAAGCATGATCATGGTCCCAAGCATCAATCCTCCAAAAAAAAAAAAAAAAAAAACGAGGGGAGGGAAAAGGAGAGAGTATGAGAAAGAGTTTGCCAAGGTGCGATCGGACGCCCTATATGGAATGACGACAAACCGTCCGTATGGTCCTCACTGTTGACGGTTCATTTTTCGCGCATGCATGTATATGTCACACGCATGAACTAATTAAGGCGTGCAACCTGATTGTTCGCGTTCATTTCCTTGCCGTACATACAGGAGCACAACAATACGAGGTGCCTCGCGACGATGGCCCGTACGAATTCGCCGTCACGGACAAAACCGTCACACGGATGTGCGGTCGGCTTCGCTCGACCTTTGCGTGGTGGAGCTCATGGTGCCCTTGCAGCCTCGTCCTATCCATCATCGCCAACGGTTACTGGCTTCCATGGAGCCACGGCCCACCACAGGCCTTTCGGGAGCGTAACCACGCTGGTGCATACGCGCATGCGTCGTTCACACGTACTGCCATCCAAGAACTCACAGAGACCGGAGCTGCAGTCGAGACAGCCGCAAGCGAGCTTACGTGCATAAGCCCACTTAACGTGGTCGAGCAGAAAGAAAAATGCAGGCTCATCCTCGACCTGAGAAAAGTCAACACAAACCTCATCGTCCCAAAATTCAAGTACGAAGGACTCAGCCGTGTGGCAGACGTGGCACGCGCTGGGGATTGGATGTTTTCTATTGATCTCAAATCCGGGTACCATCACATCGATATCCATCCTTCATGCTGGAAGTTTCTCGGTTTTGGATTCGATGGGCGCACTTACTCCTTTCGTTCATTGCCGTTCGGTCTTGCGACAGCCCCATTCATCTTCACGCAACTCATCAAGCAGCTAGCCCGTCGCTGGCGGGAGCAAGGCATCCGAGTAGTACCATACGTGGACGACATCTTATTCCTTTGCCAGTCAAAAGCTCACGCGCAGGCTACTTGCCACCGTGTAATACTGGACCTTAAAGCAGCAGGTTTGGTGATAAATGCGAAGAAATCACAGCTGTCACCATCGCAACACCTTCGATTCTTGGGTGTGGAGCTAGACACGGCCACAGGCCGATTTACCATCGGTCCCGAACGACGAGCCTCACTACATGCAACCATTCGGAACCTGTTGAGCGCAAGCAAGGCATGTCGACCCGTCTCAGTCCGCCAAGTGGCCAGAATCACAGGCATGCTCGCGTCAATGGGCGTCGCGCTGGGCGCAACAGTTCGTGCTTTCAGCCACGCCATGCTACAAGTGATCAATGACGCACCTTCATGGAAAAGCAGCGTGATCATCCCCCCAAACGCGGCTGAGGAGCTAAACTTCTGGCTCGAAGAGTTTGACAGGTTCAACGGTGCACCGTTTCACGTTCGAAACAGCTACGACGCTGTCATCCATGTGGATGCTAGCGCTCACAGTTGGGGCGCCACTTTGACCACATTTCCTGGCGGCCTCGAAGAAGCTAGCGCAACAATGCCAGAGCCGCTGCGAGCGACGTCCAGCACACGGAGGGAGATCGAAGGTGTGCTTTGGGCACTCCAAACATACTCCAGCAAGATCACGCACAAACATGTTCTTGTGCGGGTGGACAATCAGGGCGTCTTCTTCATCCTTCGCAAAGGTGGCTCGCGCAGCCCCGACCTTACCACGGCCTGCCAAGACATCATTCGACTATGCATGGAGCACGGCACGCGTCTAATCATCGAATGGATCCCACGGGAGCTAAACTCACACGCCGATGAGCTCTCAAAAGCAGTCGATCATGACGACTACTCGTTGAAGACGCCGTGGTTCCGCATCTTAGAACGGCGTTGGGGTCCCCATTCCATCGACCTCTTTGCAAACTCCCGCAACTCCCAGCTGCCACGCTTCTGCACTAAAATTCCTCATCCACAAGCCACCGCAGTCGATGCATTCTCGCTCGCATGGACATCAGAAAATAGCTTTGCGTTCCCCCCGCCCCATTTAGTTCCGGCCGTCCTCCATCACGCACA